CATCCATGCTTGATTCTGTTTGACTGATAAATACAGCAAATAACCCCTGCCCGGATGGCATCCTTGAAAGACCTTGCTCGGCGTGGCCATTAACCTTCAAAGAGCATCCGGATCCACTCCAGGTCGACCTGTGTCTTTCCAGTTCCAGGGTCTCTGAGCCAGCTCCTTTTGAGGATGTCATCTGATCAGATCACCGGACAACGTGAGACATGTCATCTCGGTGTATTTGCATTATATGCCATATCTACTACATCACTCCAGTTTGCAATTATTCCCGGAACTCTAACTATAAATCCAACCGCCTCGCTGGCATTTCCAAGTGGGCAGCGAGCCCAGCTCCCACAATGATTTAGCTAAACCGTTGAGGGATCAGTCAGCCTTATTGAGCTTCAGGATCTCCGTCTCCTAAAGGAGTCTTTAATTTGAACCTGGCACAAGTGCTGAGCTTGTGGTTTTGTCCACTTGCCCAAACAGACAGGGAACACGGGCTTTGGATGACCACAGCTTGGTCATCCTGTGAGTCTCGATCCGCCTCCCCTGGCTTGGGCTGCAGGCCCCTCCTCTGGAGCAGATGCTCTCAGAAGCTGACCAGGAACAGCAGAATCCCCTGAAGAGCCCGAGACTTCCGGGCCCCTCCCCCGGGGATCCGGGGTCTCCAGAAGCCACCTTCCTTGGCATCCCATGGATTCAGACTGAGGCTGCACTCTGGAAAACATTGTTCCAGAATCCGGGGCCACTAACAGCTCCTCCTCCTCTGGCTGGGCAGCGCCCACACCCCCATCAGCTGTCCCTAAGGTCCTATCTCTGTCCATGTTGGCATGTCCAGCTCACCTCTGTTTCATAAATCCCAGTACACGATGAAACCTTAGCCTGACTTTGCCTCTGCTTTCCTTCAAACCCCGGTGGATTCCAAGGAGAAGTGTTTGCCTTGTCCCCCTTCACAGGCCTGTCTCCGTCACATGGAGCTGTTGGTGAAGTTCGTCTGCAAATCACCTGGAGCAGGTGGGTGGGGTGCTGGTCAGTGAAGACGGCAGGTTCTGTGGGTGGACAGGAAGGCCCGCACCGGGCCCTGGACTCCACCATTAACAAGGGGGTCATGGACAGCCGGTCCATCGGCCAGGCTGGGAGACACTCTTTGGAACACTTTCCTAAATCTTTTCTCTGCAGAACTGATAGTCATTGATACACAGGATTTGTCTAGATTTTGACCAAATAAGTGCCTGACACAAATAAAAAGAATCTCAGAACTTATTTCAGAGATAAGAGGATTCAGCCTTTCACTTCTGAGGTGGAAAACCGAGAGGCTCAGAGAGGTGACATGGCTGATGGGACCCTCCTTCAGCCTAATCCAAAGCCCTCCCTCGGTGTGGGAGGCTCTGCCAAGAAGCCACGCCCCTGGGCTGTGGGGTGAGCACATGGAACCCCACACAGCAGGCCTTTCTGAGACTCGCAGGTGGAAGGAGAGGACCCAGCAGCCGGGGTGCCAGGCCTGCCGCACGGTAGGGCATGCCCTGACGTTCGGCCACTCAGGAGGAGAGACATGGAACGGCAAAGAGATGGAAGCTTCTAGAAATGCTGCATGTGGCGGAGGAAAGTGAAGAGTTGTGTTTTAAGCACAAGTTCACTTCACTGTTGCTTTACCGTGAGTGGTGTGATATCTCATCATAAGGAAACGAGGTGTGAGGGGAAGGGAAGTCCGGAGGAGTGGATACTCAACAGACCCAGCCGTGGAGGGTCCTGGATGTCCTACAGGGTGGCCCTCGTGTTCCGTTCTCGTGACCATCTGGGGAATTAGAGTCACGATCTCAAGTCACACATCAAGAAAAACTCCAGGTGTTACAGTGCAACCCAAATAGAAAGGAGCACCGGAGAATTAGTTTGTAACCTCAGAGTGAAGAAAGGCTTTTGAAATATGACTCAAAGTCCAGAGTCCATAAAAATGATTGACAGATTTGACCACAAAGAGAATTAAAACCTACACGGGAAAAATATCAGTAGGCTCAAAAGACAAATGAAAAACTGGGAAAGACCATTTGTAATATGCCACCAGTAAAAGGTCTACTCCTGTGATACGTAAACTAGTGAGAAAAAGACCAGCGTACCAAACGAGAATGAATGACAGGCCTCAAAAAAGGAATTACAGACAATTCTTAATTACGTATAAAAATTTGAAAAAACTTGCTGATAATAAAAAAGTGAAATTAAGATGTCCAAGCACATTTTTAATCTATTTTCTTAGCAGAATTTTACTAGGTTCATTATGCACTGCACTGGCAAAGACTTTGGGAGAAATAAGCTCTCTCACTGATGGGCTAAATACGAATTTCCTTCAAGGTGAAGTTGTCAGTATCTGTCAAACTTACAATTATGTGTACTCTTGACCCCTGTTTTAAGACATTTATTCTACTTTATGTGCAAGGATATAACTAAAGACTGGAAACAACCTGAATGTCCATTGATAGGGGACTGGCCAAGGACAGCCGGTACACTCACACAATGAAGGGTCATGCGTTGATGTAGAAGACCTGGAAGAACATGCTGGGAAGACAGACGCTACCATGAGCAGAGAGTTCTAGGCAGACGAGGAAGAGTATGTTCATCTTATATGCTTTTTGATTTTTGAAATCACATAAATATATCATGTATTCAGAAATTTATTTAATTAACCAGGAGCCGGTTTTCCCAGCATTAACCCCACTGGGTCTGAAGGCCCAGGGTGAGACTGCCCTGCGCACCCCAAGGGTGTGTGGAGTTAGTTGTTCTTTTGTAAAGACTCTATACAGTGAGCTCCGGCTTCTGGGTTTCAGGGAGCAGTGCAAACCAAAGCCAGCACCCCTCACGCAGGAGATGGAGCGCTGAGTGAACCGCCGTCTGCCCAAGTGTGGCGAGATGGATGCCATAATTATTATACGGCTTCCAGAAAACAATCAGTACAATTTATAGCCAGGGATGGACTCCAATTCTCTAATTTTTTTTTTGTATTATATGTAGAAAAAAATGAAAAAGAAAGAAAACAACCCATTTTGTGCTCTGAGTGATAGATGAAGAAAGAGGGAGCCAGCCAGACTTTCAACCACCAATTCCAACCGCTGCCATGCACACTGAGTTCACGATCTGTCCAGAGCAACAATACAGGTATTGATGAAAAGACCTGAGGGGGGGACGTCCCACACCCAGGGCTGAGCTGGAAAGTCACCCAAAGCCTGTCCTTTCTGATCTCTCTCAGGTGGAAGACATCATGCTCTACGGTCCCGCTAGGCAGGCCGAGGTGGGTACCGAGAGAACTGAGCCTGCTTGGGCAACAGACCCAGGGTGAGCAGGCCCTCAGAGGCACCGACCCTCACAGCCCTGGACAGGCTGCACCCGGGAGGGGCTCATCCAGTGAGAACAGAGCTGCACCCGGGGGAGGCTCAACCTGCAGTTCCACACAGGAACGGGACGGAGGCCCCAGAATGCGACAGTCTCACACACAGAACGGAGCTAAAGGAGACAGGCGGAGAACAAACTGTGCGATTTTACCTCCGTTACAATGATGGAAAAAAGCCGCCTCTGGCTCTAGAGTAAGGCAGGTGGTGGCAGAAGGGAAGAGGGTGCGGGTGGGGGCATTTCCGGAGATCAGTGACCTGGGCCATCAGTTTGTGCAGAGCCGTCAAGCCATGTCCTTGGTATCTGCAGGTGTTCTGCACTTTTCTTAATGTTTTTCATTCAACAGTTTTTTAAGCATTATAAGGCAGAATGAGCAGCAGGTGAATGAGTTGGGAATCATGCTCTCCCAGCCTCGGCTGAGATCCCAAAGAGAGTGCAGGCAGAGGCTGGGAGGACCCAGCGCTCTCTGCCGAAGACTCCCGGGGAGCTCTGCAGAGATCCCGCTGGATGGCTTAGAGTCATATGGCAGCGCGGCCTTGTGGGGGCCTGTAGGCCAGCCCAGGAGGACGAGGTCCTTCGCTGAGCAGCGGGAGAAGGCTCTGTAGCCACCTTCGGGCTCAGGAATCTCTCCCGGCTGATATTTCTATAAAAGTTAATTTTCTAGATAATCAAAACTTCTCTCATTAAACAACTCCCTCACTTAAACTGAAATCATCTCTAATGGAATTCCTTCTAAGTTGTATTTCACACGTCCCTGACTTTTGGAAGATCCACGGTAGAGAATTTCATCAAACAACAAATGACAACGCTTACGATTAAGTGCTGTCTTTGTGCCAGACACTGCCCAAAAGGCTTTCTATCAATGTTTCTCGTTTAATCCTACAGAAATCCTTGGGAATTAAGTCCTATTACTCTTCCTGCTTTATGTATGAGGCTCAGAACAATTCAATAATTGCCCAAGGTCACATGGCAGGTCGAGAGTAGGGGGCCTGTTTCGGTCCCTCCAAAACCTTAACTCCAACCACACGCCCACCTCTCTCTATAGCCTCGTGGACTGAGTCTGTGCAGCACCTTAACAGGCCAAGGGGTGCCCGGGAATGCTAGCTGCACCTCTAGAGATGTGATTGGAGCCCGCATTGTGTTCCTTTATTTCCCTTCTCCTTCCCCGCCCATGTCCTCCACCCCCTGGGTGCTGGGGTGGCACCCAGGGCTCCCCCATGCTAGGCGAGTGCTCCTCCGCAGGCTCCCGTCATCAGTATTGTAGTTTTAGTTGACAGGAGAGCTGTAATCAGTATGTACAGGCTCTCCCCCACAAACCCCAACTCCTACCTAAAATCTGATAAGGATCTTTTCCACCTCTTTAAAGTCTCAACCCTGTTAGATCTGTTTGGCTGAAGATCCCACAGAGTCGGACCAACTCCTTTATCAGTTTAAGACACCCCTCTGGTTCTCTGCATCTGAAAGTTGTCCTTAAGGGAACTCAGAAGGAAGTCGTGGTGCTCATCGGGTCAACAAGCACAGCCCTCACAGTGTCCAGAACACACGCACCACGCCCCGACCAGCCCAGGGCGGAGGGAGCCCTGTCTGTGAGGTTTAGGGCCACAGGCCTGCGGAGGAGAGCCTCCTGTCCTTACCCCGTCTTCAAGCTGACCAGGGCGTCCTCGACCCCTTTCTGGTTGAACTTGGTCATGTACTGGTGCATGTAGGGGTAGTTATTCCGGATGTTTCTCTCCGTGCTTCCATTAGGCACCGTCCCAAATCGAAAAGGTGGAGAATAATCATGAGGTCTCTGAAACTGGAAGGGGGGCGGAGACAGAGAAGGACCAGGAGGAGAGCAGGGAGCAGGAGGGGAGGGGAGAAGAACAGGAAGAGGAAATTAGCAATCACAGCATCTGGTACCAGGAGGCAAACACACGTGCATCGTCCTTCTCCGCCTCCTCCAGTGCAGTGTCTGTGAGCCCCAGGGGCTGGACGCGGCATCTGTGTTTCTCTGTGCTGTCCCCCCAGTCCCAGCACAGGGCCCACCTGGCTGGGTGGCAGTAGGTATCCTTCGGGATACATTTTCCTGTGACCTTACAGACCAGCAGGATACCAGGCAGGCAGGCAGGCAGGCGGGGCTCGGGAAATGCTGGCCGAGCTAGGATTCAGGTATAATTTTAGTCCAATTCATTTCTCCACCTTGTGATGAAATTCTAGACGACCCACGGATCGCGCCCTGCTCTGAACTCCGCTGGTAGTTACTTTTACCCGGAATGTGACCCTGTTGCCCTTCGCCCGCTCACTTCCGGAGTCACCAGTCTCTACGGGCTGTACTCAGGGAATGCCCAGGGGACCAGGCACAATTCCGGGCACACGGCAGGCTGGCTCTACGCAGCCGCTTCCCGAGGAGGCCCAGGACCGCACGGCTTTGAGCCTCTGTAAAGGCACGTTGTCCGTGGTCCACGCGTCTCCCCTGACCACCTGGCGAATGCTGTCTGCCCTCCGCTTTGAGAGGTCAGGTGAATCTACCTGATGGGAGGTCAAGAGGACTAGCTGGTTCTGAGTCCCAGAAACACAGCTACACCTCGACAGGCCACCGGAAGGGCTACAGCGGTGAGCTCAGGCTTGCTGGGGGAAATCAGCCTGTGCCACTTAGCGCTGGGGGACCCGAGGCAGCTCACTTTGCCTCACACTGGCCCTGCCCACCTTCTCCCAGTGGAGCCATGCTGGTCCCTGCCCCGTGGGGTCCCTGAAGGGAAGAAGGAACCAGAGCCGCAGGTTTCAGTGAAATATGGAGCCCCAGAGCCGGAAGGCAGTGGGCAGATGCAAGTGAGGACTGGGCTGGGCCCGTGCTGTGCTGGGAGCCCTGGCAGGGGTCACTGGATCCTCAGGACGGCCCTGCGGGGGGCGAGGCTGAGAGGCCCAGACTTACACATGGGGACGCTGAGGCTCGGGTGTCACGTGGCCCAGGACTGCGGGGTCAGCAAGCCGAGAGGCTGGAACTGAAACCTACAGAGACCACCGAGTGCCTCCTCCTCAGAGAGGGTGAGGGCTGGAGACCCCAGAAGGAAGACACCCAGTGGGTCCACGTCAGACCAGGCTCCAGGACTCGCTCAGAGTCCTCTCCAACTTCCAGTGCCACGCGCCTTTCCTGGAACGGAGAACTGCCTGAGAAGCCTGCGGTTTTGCCCAGGTCAGCCCGACCGGCGACGCTGCTCTTTCCCCCAGACTCACTCCACGTCACTGTTGGTGAGACTTTGGGCTGAAGATCATTTCCCCTGGATCAGGCAGGCCTCAGAGACAGCCAGAAGTGGCTTTGGGAGGAGAGTCCTTTCTTTGTCCAAATGAGATTCTCCGCCAAAACACACCTTGCATCGAGTGTGAGTGCGTGCGTATGCGTGTGTGTGGGTGTGTGTGTGTGAGTGCGTGCGTGTGTGTGTGAGTGTGTGCATGCGTGCATGTGTGTGCGTGCGTGTGGGTGTGTGTGTGTGAGTGCGTGCGTGTGCGTGTGTGTGTGCGTGTGTGTGTGCGTGCATGTGTGTGCGTGCGTGTGTGTGGGTGTGTGTGTGTGTGTGCGTGTGTGTGAGTGCGTGCGTGTGTGTGTGTGTGTGTGTGTGCGCGCGTGCACCCCTGTGCTGCAAAATGCTCTCTGCAATCAGTTGGTCAAGCAGCGTCCTCGCTCATCACCAAAAGTCGAGGCCCCTTCCCCGGTTCCTTGGGCCTGCAGCTGCCCTTGCTGAGACGGAGCACCTGGGCGTGGTCACGGATCTGGCCCTGGCCACTGCCGTCCACCTCAGAGGAGCTGCGGACAGACGCCTTCACTCCACTCCCCACTGTCCTAGAGGAGCCGCTGCTCTTTTGAGACCCGCCTTCTTCCCTGCCCCTGATGGGCAAGTGACGGGGACGGACGCTCAGCCTCTGTGATGCTCCGGCGTCCTCTGGCTTTGGGAGCAGCATCCTTCACACACACTTCAGCCCGGGGCCAAGATCCAGGGGTCTAGACCAGAGACTGACAGACTTGTTAGGGCAGGACGCACAGCACACTCCACTGCTTCCCTGTGTGTACCCACACGCGTGCCCACGCTCACGAAACTCCACAGTATTCCTTCTTCTGCACGCGATGCACTCCGGTGTTATCCATTATGCTTTCAATGGTCACCACTCTTGGTTTCTCGGCTCACAGAGGAGTCCCGGCCCACGGTGTGAAACAGGTAGGGGCGTCTCCGTGGAAGGCACTCCACGGCAGTCCCGGGAAGGCCAGCCCTGTGCCACTGTAGTGGGACTTTGTCATCAGAAAGGAACGAGCACTGGTGTTAGGGAAGGAAGGGGCAGCACAGAGCGTCCCCTGCCTGCAGGACAGAGAGCATCAACCCAGGGTCCAGGGAGGTCCCGGCTCTCTGCAGGCTGCCCTCACTGCTCCTGCGAACTGGCTGCCCCAGTCTCGGGGAAAACCGAGGGCAGCTGCTCTCCTCCCACGTGGAACTGTGTTATTTGGGGGCAGCTCAGTAAGGAGTCTGAGCCTCAGTTTCTCTAGCTGGACACTAAGGACCCCTTTTAAAGTTAATTGTGAACTGCTTCAAAACACACCTGGCGTCCCCACCGCTTGCCACGCCTCGCCCATCCTGCACGTGATAATTTCCTACGCACGCCTCTCGGACACCTATTTTACTTTATCCAGAGTTGTTGGGCCAATCACGAAGCCAGCCGCCCTCCAGGTTGGAGAGCCAGCCTCACTTTCTAAGCCTTCCCCTTCAACATGGGGACCCGTTGACGTCGTCCAGGGAACAACAAGGCAAGCACTGGTGGTGGACGGGGAGAGACGCAGGTCAGGGAAAGAAGAGTTTTAGGAAAATGCAGCGATTCATCGGGTTGCTCCTCCATTCCCCTTGTGAACCCCAAGCCGCACACTGTTGTTAGAGACCTCGCTCGGCCTCTGTGTCCATGGCTAAGGACACCTGGAGCCTGTGGCCCTGTTTCCAGCAGGGTCTTCAGCGGGTGAGGAGCCGGGTGTTGGTGGACATGAGCATGTGGCAGAGGCAGCCTTGATGGGAGCCCGGGGTCGGAGGCTCCCTGACAGGAGC